ACTGATTCGGTAATTTTCGGTTCGACCGTTGAAAAAAACATTACGAATTATCATTATTATCATCATTATCATTATTATTATTTACACATACACATCTCTTTGAAAAATAGTTCACCGACCTTTAATTGTGACTTTTACTACATCCAGACAATCTAAATTATTTTTATCCGAGTTGATGTTTTCTTTCCTTTCTTTCTGACGATATGTGCAAAAAAAAAATGACGATGATGATAATAATAATAATATTAAAAGAGCCTCGACACAAGTCCGGTAATAAAATCGGTCTTAGAGTAATATACGACATTATTATTATTATTATTATTACTACTGTTAAATTTTTTTTTTTATCGGTTTAAAATAATAATAATATGATATTAAAATAATAAATTTTTATTTAAATCAGGTTAATTTTATTATTATTATTATTAATATTGTTATGAAAGAAAGGAAGAAAAAAAAAAGAAACGCAACAAACTAGTTACAAATAGTTTTTTTTTTTTTTTTTTAAGACGAATCGTTTAAAATTATAACGTGTCATTAGACAGGGAAAAAAGAGGAAGAAGAAGATCAAAAAAAAAAAAAATGTTAATTTAATAATAAGGGAATGAATTTGATACGGTTAAAAAAAAAAAACCTCGCACATAAAATGAAGGGAAAAATTTATAAAAACCCAAAAAAAAGGGAGGAGAGAGGAAGAGGGAAGGAGGAGGGGGAAGGGGGAAAAGGGAGGAGGATAAAGACATTTAAAAAAAAAAAAAAAAAACGAAAAAAAACTGGTTTTGGTTTTTTGGTTTTTTGGTTTTTTTTTTTTTTTAATGGGAATAAAAGGCGACTGTAAATATAATAGAGCCCCGCGCGTAGGTTTTATTATTATTATTATTATTATTATTATTATTATTATTATTATTATTATTATTATTATTATTATTATTATTATAGCGTATGAGAGATTATAGAGAACGTGCATAACAAAAAAAAAAAAACGTAACGAAAAATTATTCGTGGACGTTACAAAAAAAAAAAAAAATTTTTTTTTAATTAATTTTTTATAACGGTTATTATTATTATTATTATTATTATTATTATTATTATTATTATTATTAACGTGAGTTTAAAAAAAAAACGTGGAAATAGATGACAACAACGTGGTTTTTTACATTTTCGTGTAATTAATTTTGTCCAAACGAAGACACACGCGCGTATTTTAATGCGGATTTAGTTTAAAAAAAAAAAAATTTAAATTTATTATGAGAATAATAATAACGAAAATGGCGACGATTATGATGACGTCAACGATGACGGAAACGATGACGTAAATAATAATAAAAATTTTTTGAAAGAAGAAAAAAAAAGAAAACAAATTTGTTTTCCTTTTTTTCACTTTATCAAACACGTCTTATCAATTTTTTCTTCTTCTTTTCCTCTTTAACGAAACGAACGCGCGTATCATTTCCGTTCAAAAGAAAGTCTTTTATTATTATTATTATTAAGAGAAAAGAAAAACTTTCACGGAAAATTAAACTTTACTTTTTTTTTATTTTCGTTTAAAATCATCATCGCATTAAAAAATAAAAAGAAAACGAAGGAAAAAAAACTAACGACGCCATTAAATAAAAATTTAACCAATTTAAATATATAAAGAAAAAAACGCGCGTTTTTTTTTTTTAAATTGCATCAAATTTAATTTCACGGTTGGTTACAATAACAATCTTTGTATTTTAAACGTCAGCGTAAATCGTATAACGAAAAAAAAAGTTGTTGAATGACGGTTAATAATTAATTGTTTAATTTTACGTTTTGTTATTTTTTTCATTTAATTTATGTAATGGTTGTTGTTTGTTTCGAAAAAAAAAAAAAACAAATTTCAAGATTGTTATTAAAAAACAAACGACAACCGACGAACCGACCGACCAACCGATTGATTATTAATAAATAAATAAAAATGTTTTTTTTATATATTTAAAATTATTATTATTATTATTATTATTATTATTATTATTATTATTATTATTATTATTATTATTATTATTATTATTATATTTGATGTGTGATGTTGTTTGTTGATGTTGTGGTTGTTGTTTGTTAATGTAAGGAAAAACAGGATGCGAACGGGTAAAAAAAAAAAAAATTTTTTTTAAAGAAACGAGTCAATGAATAATTACGTAGTTTTTTTTTTTTTAAGCGGAATAAAAAAAATTTTCTTTTTGCAAATTGAATGTTTGAAACTCGCGTAATAAATCACGCCGCGTAATTTTATTTTTAAATATTATTTGCTTTTGAAAAGGGTGAAAAGGGTTTTAAAAAAAAATTGGTTAAAACGAATTAATTGTTATAATTAAATGTTATTGGAATTGTACGTTTTTGTTGGTCGATTTGTTGCGAATCGTTTTGCTATATTCTTCTTCCTCGATTATTATTATTATTATTACTCTTAAACACGACAAGGCTCTTATTTGTCGGAGTTTTTGAGCATTTATTCCAGGTTTCTACCCGATTCCTTAGGGACAAATACTCGAATTTCGGTGGTGCTACTTATAATATTTTCCGAAGAATGTGGGCCGTCCCACATAGTGCGATTTCCTGGATGGTTTCTTCCTTTAGGTTCTTTAAAATCTTCTTTAAATTTCCTTTCGTTGAATGTGGTGGCATGGCTCCCAGTTCTGCTCCCACGATGACCGGAATCGTTTCTGTTTTTGTTCCCAATATCCTGGCTATTTCAATCCTTTGCCCTCTTCTTTGGCTGTCTGGTGTTTTTCTCTCCGCCGGTACGAATACTTTAATCAGTTTACACCATTTTTCCGCATTATGCCTGAGGAATATTATTATTATTATTAGTATTTTAATTTATAAAATGGCGTCGAGAAAAAAAAAAAAAGTGAAAAATTAAATTTTGACATTTTAATATAAGATTTAAAATTTAAACGAAAAAAAATTTTATTTTCTTCTTTCCTCGTGAGAGATCTTGTTAAAAGTTTTTTTTTTTTTTTTAAATTGTGGTAACTGTTGTCAGGAAAATTTTTCTTCTGCTTTTTTCTTTTTCCTCACAAAATAAACTTTTTACGTTTTCTTCTTATTTTAAAATAGATCTTCATTTTATATAGTTTTTCAAAACGTCAAATAAAAAAAAAGGGAAAACCGAGCAATCAATCTTGTTTGTTTGTTTGTTTTAAAACGTAAAGTTTTTTTTTGTTTGTTTGTCTTTTACAAACGCGTTAAATATTTTTTTTTATTTAATGATTTTTCACAAGTTTAAACGTTTGGAAAGAAAATTTTAGAACAAGTCGTTTTTTCTTTTACATACACCTGTCAACGCATGCTGTTTTTCTCTCTTTCTCTCTCTCTCACCACGTGTACACGTTATTATTAATAATTCGAGTTTAATAAAATTAAAATTAATTCGACCACGTGACCTCGTTTTCAATACGTTTCTTTCTATTATTTAAAATGAATACAAAAAAAAATTAAATAACTGATTGGTTCATTGTTAAAAATTTTTTTTTGTTGTGTTGTGTTGCGTTTTTCATATATAAAATATATACAAGACGGTTATTAATGGCGGTCGATAAATTATCACCCGTAAGAAAATATTTTTCAAGTTAATCTATATTAAAAAGAGTGAGAGAGTGAGAGAGAGAGAGAGAGAGAGAGAGAGAGTAGGTAGAAAAAAAAGGAAATAGCAGTAGTAGTAGTAGTATAATTTTCATTTAAAAATTTTTTTTTTTGTAACGGAAATTTTGTAATTTAAAAAAAAAAAAAAAAAAACATTTCGTCATCTAAATCGACTCTCATAAGAATTTCGTCGCCATTTTTCAGGTTAAAATTTATTTAATCGCGTTGTTAATACGATGGATTAACGACGAAAGGATTAACGAAACTAAATAAATAAATTTTTTTAACTTTAAACCGCTTTTGATTTTCGATCAAAGGAAAAAAAAAAAAAAAAAATTATTTCCTTTATGTTGTTATTACCAACAACACTTTCCATTAGTACAAAAAAATATTATTATTATTATTATTATTATTATTATTACTTTTTTTTCAATTTGAAAGTCATTATTATTATTACGTGATGTAATCAAGTTCCTCCATCATCCTCCATCCAAGTTTTTTTTTTTTTTTTTTCTATCCTTTTCTATTCTTTTCCCCTTGAAATTTTACCCCGAAGCAATAGATAATAAATTTTTAGTAATTAGATACTTCCAGACTCGTTAATAATATAAAAATTCCAACTATTCAGACTAAACTCAAAAAGGAATAATAATAATAAAAATAATAATAATAATGATGATGATAAAAAAAAAAAAACTTTTCAGGTAGTCGCTAATTGACTCTCGACTCTCACACAATTCGGTAATCGATACTCATGAATTTATAGTCAATAATAATAATAATAATAAATTATAGCCGAGAAAATTTTTTTTTTATAGCTTAAGTTTTCTGCTATAAACTATATTATAACTATAGAAAAAAATAAAAATTGTTTTTTTAAAAAATAATAATTTAACGGATTTAAATTTTAAATTATGCGAATCGTTTGTTGTATGTTGTGGTTGTTGTTGTTGCAAATAATAATTTATAATAATAATTTTTTTTTTTTTATTGATTATTATAATGATGTCATTTTATAAAAAAAAAAAAAAAAAAAAATGGGAGATTGATTTTTTTTCATTCATTTTATATACTTATTTAAATACCGGAGGGTAATTTTATAAATTGTCTGATGACACGGTTTTTTAAAGTTCCGCGTTTCGGTTCAATAAAATCAAATTTTAAATATGGAACAAAAATACGAGTTTTTTATATTAAAAATGTATCCGTCGTCGTACCCCCTGGCTTAAATAAAACGTTTTTTTTTTTTTTTTTATTATTTAATAAAATCTAGTTATTCCAGTAAAAGGAAAAAAAATGTGCATATAAGGGTTTAATTTTCAATTTGCCAAAGGAAAAATATATACGGCGGAATCGATATCGACCGAAGAAAAAGGAAAAAAAATAAAAAAATGGGGGTTTAGGTACGATGAAAACGACGACCACGACGACGACCTATAACGTGTTTTGTTTAAAACGGAAATAAATAATTAAATATTCGATATATCGAACGAGAAAAATTTTTATCGATAATCTCGAATTTATTGCGAGTGCAATAATTAATCGGGGCAAAAGATGTAATTAACGAATTTTTTTTTTGTCTTAAAGGTTCACTTATACTTCAGCGCTCTTCCCGAAGATAAAGTTCCTTACGTGAATTCTATAGGAGAACGTTATAGAGTCCGACAGCTTTTGCAACAGCTTCCACCTCACGATAACGAAGTTAGATACTGCCACGGTTTGTCGGAAGAAGAAAGAAAAGAATTGAGATTGTTTTCGGCACAAAGGAAAAGGGAAGCACTGGGAAGAGGTTCGGCGAGACAATTGACGTCAAACATGCCTTGCGATACGGTAATTTTTTTTTCCATTTTTACTTTAAAATTACGTACAAAATTTAAAAATCTTCTGACACTGCAAGACTAGACAAACCACCACGATACTAAAAATTTCCGGTTGGAAAATTTATAACCGCGTGATCGCGCAGAGAAAAAGGGTTGAAAAAAATCGTTTCTTTTTTTTCTTTTAAATCCACATCAAAATAAATATAAAAAAAAAAATCGTGGTAGCAGAAATCAAAAACGTTATTCGATTAGGATTTTAAATTAATTCATTACGTTTACAATCGATTTAAAAAAAAAATTATCGTTTCATTCATTGATTTATTGATTCTCGACAAAAAGAATAAATAAATAAATAAATGAATTCGTCGTGCACGTAGAAAAAATTTTTTTAAACAAACTTTTTTTTTTTTTTCTTATTTGATTTTGAATTTATTTAATATTTATAAAGAAGAATAAATTTATTCCTTGTGGTTTTTTAACTTTAAAATAAAGTAAAATGACTTAAGAGACTTTTGAAAAGTTTTTGAAATTTTCCAACGGAAAAAAAAGAGAGAAAGAGAGAGAAGGAAGAAAGAAAGAAAGAAAGAAAGTTAATGAGAAGTAAACGTGATCTGAATCGAAGTGTGTAAAAAAAAAAGGAAAAAAAAAATTACTTCATTTCTGGAAAATCTTTTTTAGGGATGACGATGATATTTTTTTTTGTTTCCTGTTGATTGTTTGTTACAAGGGTCGATTCGGATTCATCATCGCCATTTTGTGAAAATAGTAAAAATTTATTTTATTTCTTTTAATTAAAACAAAAAGAAAACATTTAATTTTCTCTCCTACCTTTCTCCTCCCCCTTCCTCGTCGGGTAAATCGTCCGATGATTAATTATTATTATTATTATTGCAGTGCGGAGAAGAATTATCCTCTGGAGATATGAGCGTGTTCGCATCAAGAGCCGGACCGAATACTTGCTGGCATCCGGGTTGTTTTTCATGCCACATTTGCAAGGAACTTTTGGTCGATTTGATTTATTTTTACAAAGAGGGAAAATTATATTGCGGACGTCATCATGCGGAAACGTTAAAACCGAGATGTTCTGCTTGCGACGAGGTTTGTCTTCTTTTTTATGATAACAGAAGGTTGATGTTGTTGGATTCGCTGATAATTTTTTTTTGGGTGGTTTTTCTTCAGATAATCTTAGCCGATGAATGTACCGAAGCTGAAGGAAGGGCGTGGCACATGAAACATTTTGCTTGTTTAGAATGCGATCGACAACTCGGAGGTCAGAGATACATAATGAGAGAAGGACGACCATATTGCTTGCATTGTTTCGATGCAATGTTTGCTGAATATTGTGATTCTTGCGGAGAACCAATCGGAGTCGATCAGGGACAAGTATGCAAATGAAAATATTATTATTATTATTATTTTGTTGCTTTAAGCTTTAAGCAAAACGAATATTGTAAAAAAAAAATTTTTTTCATAATACTTACTTTAGATGAGTCACGAGGGTCAACATTGGCATGCGACAGAATGTTGTTTTTGCTGTCACACTTGTAGAGCTTCACTACTCGGACGTCCGTTTTTACCACGCCGAGGGTCCATTTTTTGTTCCATTGCGTGCAGTAAAGGTGAACCACCCACTCCGTCTGATAGTTCTGGTCCGAGATCTTTAAGGGCGAGACCAAAAGCTCATCCGCCATCGGAAGCCGGTTCCGTTACTCCACCGGCTTCGCCGTGCATAAATAGAAAAAATATGGATTCGCCGACGACTTCATCTGCTCCTTCGTCACCCTTGGGACAAACGCAGGGCGGAAAATATTTTAGAAATATCGGGTAAAAAAATAATTGTGGTTTTTCTTTTGTCATCGATGACCTACAAAAAAAAAGAAATGATTTAGTGAGGATTTGTTTATTTATTACAGGGGTTCACAATTAGGAATTCCATCTGTGGGTTTGCACGTATTTCAACCGAATCAACAACAACAACAGCAACAATCCTTGCCGAACATGTCACCAACGTTAAGATCACCCAAAATGGGACGACGCGTTTTACAATCTAGATCTCCGAAGCAATCACGAAAGCTATCTCAAGAAAATGACAAATCCTACACTCCTCCTCCGCCACCATTACCGACGACTTTTCCTCCTTCGACCGATCCACCAAATCAAAAAGATCATGATGAAGAAGAATCGTCGGTTAAATCAACCCCTCATTTACCTCCTCCACCTCCACCTCCGCCTCCTCCGGGCATACCATCGGTCAACATAAACTCATCTCCGAGCAAAGGACTCGATAGAGTGTTGTTAGAAAGAAATTTAGAAAGATTACTCGTTGAACAAAGTGGTAACATAGTCAGTCCCGAATTGGAAAAGTTAATAAATTCGCAGGATCGGTGTCGGGAACCATTAGATTTAAGACAATTAAATTTAAGTCTGGACGATTGGCAACCTAACACAGTACAAAACAACGGAATCGATACACCGGATCACGTGTCTTCGGCACCGGATTTAAACGCTCTCGAATCGAATTCCGCACGGAAACCGAGAGACAAAGGACAATTATCCGTTCGATTCGAAAGCGAAGGAGGAACTTGCGAGGATTACGCGAGAAGAAATACGAGAACGAAAAATTATCCGAACCGTTCGAAACGTCACGGAGAAACGAGCGGAGTCAAAGGGAAAAAATCAATGATGACTCCTCCGGAAAATACCGTTCCTATCGATTTTTCTTCCAGAGATGACGACGATAGTTATTGTTCGACTTGTTCGAGTTCGAGTAGCGACGATGATGACGTTTACGAACTTCCTCCGAGGCGAGCTTACGGCGGCGTTCGAATTTCTTACGTTCCAAACGATGCGTTGGCTGTTGCGAGACGTCATCAAGCGAACGCCCGTTCACCGACCAAATCAAATTCTCAACCTGATAAAAATTGTATCATTTCTTGATTTCCGTGTTCGGTTAGATTAAAAAAATTATCTAAAAAACTAATTAATATCGTTTATGCGCGGCAGGAGCAGCAGACGACGACGTCTTCCTATAAAATATCCATGGCGTTTAGAAACGTACTGAAAGAAAAAAAAAATTAATTTATTTATTTTTTGTAAATAATTCCTTCGCGGAGGTAGGCACACGATAATGAAGATTGCGTTTACGTTCGATAGCACACTTATTAATTAATAAGATTATACATAAATGATAATTATTTTTTTACATCGATTACAAATAATTAATAATAATTGATAAGCGTTGGTCGCAACAACAAAAAGTGCCAAAATTTATTATTAAGATTTTAAATAAGTCCAAAGACATTAATTAATTAATTAATTAAAATGTGTAATTAATAAAATTGTAAATAAAAATCAATAAGTTGTAAAATAAAAAAATTTCTCCAGTGAGAGCGAAAGAGAGAGAGAGAAAACTTTTCAATAAAATGTGTAATTAAAAAAAAACAAAATTTTTTTTTTTGTTCACCTAACCAATCGTAACCTTTAAACTTTATCTAAAAAAAAATATTTTAAATACCTGATTGATTGATTGATTGACTGATTGTATTGACGTTGAACTCGTCGTACTCGGATGATTGGTTTTGAAGACTTTCGATTCTGAAAACAAAAAAAAAATTTACCTGGAATTAACGATTATTGATTTTTTTTTTTTTTTTTGTAAATTGTGCGTAATTCTAAAAAAAAAAACGCATTAATAAGTTATTAAAATAAATAAATAAATAAATAGAAATTTTTTTTTTTCCAACAAAGAATTTTTTTGTTTTCATCATTCGTTCATTCATTCATTCACGAATGTGTTTCGCGTTAATAATAATAATAATAATAATTGTTTTTTTTCCAGTTAAATTGAAAATTAATTTAATTAGGCGTGCGTGCGTAAATGCGTGCGCATTCGATGCGTTTATTTATTTATTTAAAAAAAAAATAAGAAGAAGAAGAAGTTAACGGTCAAGTTCAATTTTCGCCGTCTCGCTAATTATCTATACAAATTTTTTATAACGTGAGGCGAGAAAAGAAAATTTTTTTAATAAATTTTCTTTTTTATTATTATTATTATTATTTATGTACGCGCGTAAAAAATAAAATAAAAGAAAACAATAATTATTTTTATTAAAATGAAAATGACGCGGCGAATTTATTTTTCAACGCGCGTTAATAAATAATTTAATAAATTTAAAAAAAAAAAAAATTCAGGTTCATTGCGGTTAAAAATAAATAAATAAATAAATAAATATGGCGCGTAGTTATTTAAAAAAAACAAAATTATTGTATTTTTGTCTATAAATTGCTATAATTTGTGCCAAAATTTTTAGTATAGTAAGAGAGACAAAAGTGAAAGAAAAAAGCAGAAAAAACGAAAAAAGCAGAAAAAAGAAAAATGGCGGATAAATCAGGTACTTTTCAGGTAAGAAATTTTATTCTTTTAATTATGTTTACGCTATAATTTATAGAACGTTTAATAACTAACGCTATAAAATATAGTTTGAATTTTTAGTTTGATAAACTTTTAAAAAAAAAATTATTTGGGTAACAAAAAAAATTGAAAATTGATTAATTAGGTCACACTCGAATCGATCGTCCATTTTTTTTTGTTTGTTTGTCTGTTATTGTTTAGTTTTCTGACAACCGAACAATCAAATTTTTTATCACACGTGAATGATTAACACTCTTACTTTTAATAAAAACAATCGGCTTGTTTGTATTAAATTTTTTTTTTACAAAAAAAAAGGGTCAAACGATTGTTGTTGTCGTTGTTGTTGAAACGAAGTAAATTTTTTATTTGTTTTTATTTTCTCTTTTCTCTTTTTTTTAAAGGTGTTTTGGAAATGTTTACATTTATTATTATTATTATTATTAATACTCGAATCGAGTTTGTTTGTTATTGGAAAACCTACAACGGAAATTAACCAACAACAACAACAGCGAATTCAAACGGAAACGGAAAATAATAAAAATTTAAATTCTGGAGAATTTTTGCAAGGTTTGTTGTTTTGTTTGTTTGTTTGTTTCTTTATCTAACGATTTTATTTATTTTAATAATTTATTTGTTTTTTTTAAAGCTGATAAAGATTTATCACCGATTAAAAGAGAAAACGATAACGATTTCGGTTTGATTGAAGTTAATGAAAATGACATACCTGAAAATTCAGAAGTTTACGTCATGGAAGAACCCGTTGAAATACAAGATAAAGATGGCGATGAAATATTAGAAACGGCAAATAATATTGTTTTCAGACCATTGTTCAGATATAGAAACAAACAACAAGCGAATTTAAGAAGAGTTTCTCCAGGTTTGAGAAGAAGATATTTCGTACAGCGAAGATACTACAGGCAAACTTATAATCCCTATAATAATTATTATTATTACAATCAAAGATATTATTGATTCTAAATTAATAAATTATTTATTTATTTATTTAAAAAAAATTGTTTATTTATTTTATACATACCTTTAAACCTGTTTTTCCTTCCTCTTTAAGAGTTTAAGCTTTTGAAAAAAAAAAAAAAAAGTTGAAAAACAGGAAATTTTTTTTTCTCTTTCCAAAAAACTCGTGAGAAAAAAATGCTTACATCGGGGTGGAAAAAAAAATGTAGGGATCGACATTTTCATCCCTTAAAAAAATTAAATTAATAAAATTTTTTTATATATAAAACATTAACGACTTTTCGAATGAACCCAAAATTAACAAATTATTAAAAATATAAAAAAAAAACCTCCCCTTAATTACATACATTTTTACATACGTTTAAGTTTGACAAAAAAAAACGTGGTGCAAAAATATTTATAAGAATTTACGTTTTAATAAATAAATAAATAATAATAAATGAAAATCAATTATTTATTAACATTTTACTACGATAAATAAATAAATAAAAATTTACCGGTTACGAAAAAGGTGTAAATAAAATTTTTAAAAAAAATTTGGTTTTTTAATTTTTTTTTTATAATTAAAAAAAGTTTTTTTTCTTTTTTTTTTTAATGTAAAATTCAAAATCGTTATTACAAATAATTCAAAAAAAAGGAAAATAAAAGAAAAGAAAAGATATCACGTGACGTAAGTACGATAACAAAAACAACAACAATAATAATAATAATTAAATAATTAAAAAAAAAACTAAATAATAATAAATTCGCGAGCTTTACTGTTTTTATTTTACGTCTATATTATTATTGTTTATTATCATTATTATTATTATTTATTACTATTATTTTTATTATTATTATTATTATCAAATTCATAAGACTTTATTTGATTATTTCACAAGTTTTAAATATAATTTAAAGTGCAAAAACGAAATAATAATAAAAGTTATCAAAAATTTTTAACAGTCTTCTATAAGAAAAAAAAATGTATTATCATTATTATTATTATTAAATAAGAATAGAATAATAATTTAAATAGATTTTTTATATATAAAAATCATAAATTATTATTATTTTTTTTTAAATATATCGTAGAGATAATATAGTAATAATTTGTTAATAAATAATAAAATTTTGTTACTTTTGTCATAAAGTAGCAAAAGTTATTTTTAAAAAAATTTCCACCCCCCCTCCTCAAGTTAATGTAAGCATTAATTCGTTTTTTTTTTCAATTTTAAAACCCTAAGGAAAATATAAATTTATTATGGGACGAATTTATCCGTGAACTAGAGGAAAATTGTTATCGTCGGCCCTTTCATCGACGTTACTCCCCATAAAAAAATATTTCAAGGCGATTGAAATAATCGAGGAGTTTAAACGACCGAGTTAAAAAAAACCTAAACTATTATTATTATTATTATTCATTCATTCATTCGATTTTTTTGTATAAACCGAGATATCGAATGTGATAAATAAAACAATGGGTTATTCAAATGTTTTCTCGTCTAGCCACGGTCGAAATATTGGTAGTGTCGATGGATAATGAGTACCTTGTTTCTTTTTTAATGTACCTTCTGATGCTCTTAGAGGATACGTTGCCATAACAATGGGTAACTGAAGCTTGATTTCCTTTTCGAATGATTTCGGAGTTAATATAAACTGAAAACAGTGAAAATTGTAAAGAAAAACCCTTTGAAAAAATTAACAAATAATAAATCAAAGTGAGTGCGCGAGTGCGCGTGGTAATAATAATAATAATCTTACGAAAACGTCATATTGAATTTTAATTAAATGACATCCTCGAAGATTCGTCGGAGGAAGTGGAGGAACGTAAAGTTGTTCGTTTTTCCATTCGTCGGATTCTCCAGAACGTATTTTACCACGACTGAGTGAAGCTAACTCTCTAGTTTCCGAATAAATAACTTTTTCTTTGGCCATATATTGAATGGTCTGCAACGACAAAACGAATGAAAGAATTTATTAATAATAATAATAATGATAATAAGTGAAAGGAAATGGGTGCGTGAGTGAGTGAGTGAGAGAATATTACGTACCTCGGTTAGAGATGCTTTTGTTGATTTAATCGTGACTTTACTTTTATTAACGATCGTTGCAGATATACCGATTGTTTCTCCAGCAACGTAACCTCCTCTATCTAATGACACGCGACAAGAAACAGGGCCGGAATTCATACAACTAACACCCAATTTATGTTCGATTTCGCATCGAAACGGTTGCTAATAAAAAATAAAAAATAAAAATAAAAAAATTTTTTTACCTTAAACTGGAGGAGAAGAGAAAAAACTGGAGAAAACTTACGGCTAAAGTTGGCGGTTCTAAATTAAGGTCGATCGGATTAATAACGATCAATACTTGTTGATTTTTATGTGTTAAACCGTTGGGTTCTCTTAGGGCAGCTTTACAAAAATATTGAACCCATCCGTGTTTGCCTAAAAACGTCGAAGGAAGTCCCAAAGGTAATCCTAATTTAAATGGAAAACTGTGAATTCCCGGAGAAAGTATTACAGGACCCTGACCTGTATTTAATTAAAGAAAATTAATTACGAAATCGACTGGAGAAAAAAAAAACAAATTTTTTTAAATACATACCTGGCTCCCCGAGAAGTCTCATACGAAAATCTATGTAATTTTCTCTATCGTACGTTCGTTCCGTTCGTGCTCCTTTAACTCTAACGACTCCTTCTCCTACCACGTGAAAATGTAATCCTTAAACAAAAAAAAAAAAAAATTTTTAATATGACTGGAAAAATATGAGCCGAAAAAAAGTGTTGCCAACTCAACAATTATGCAACAGCGATTCGAATTAAACAAAAAGAAAAAAAGTAATTTATTTTTACACACGTGGCATGTGTCGCGCGCGCGTGTTTGTCTGTTTTAAACAAACAAACAAACGAGGGCAAACGGGGAGGCCGGTTATGTTGTAACACAAAAAATATTGTAAAAAGTGTACCTTGATTGAATAATTTGTCATCTAATATTTGTCAACATTTTTTTTTTATTTTGACGTTTTAAATTTCAAAACGATTAAAAAAAAAGAAAAAAAAAATTTTTTTTTTTCCAGTTTGAAAACAATTAAAAAAAAAAATTAAATTTTAGGTCAAAGACCTCGGATAAGAAGTCAAACAACCAAATTTGGATCAGGAAAAAAAAAAAAATCTAACGCTAGCAGAAGATGTCAACGCAATCAACCAAAAAAAAAAAAAAAAAAACGAAGGAAGAAGGAGTGAAAACATTATCTCCAAAAAAAATTTTTTCTCCAGTATTAACGTGTGGGCACATACATGTAAATCCAAGTAATCGAAAAAAAAACATTCGAATTCGTTTTTGGAACAAAAAAATTCCAGTATTTAATGAGAGAGAGAGAGAGAGAGAGAGAGAGAGAGAGAGTGATGACCTTCCCTACGTTATTTATTTACTGTTTGAAAATTAAATTTTTTCTCCAGTAAATTTCTTAAACCGATATTTTTCCAAAATTCTGTTTTTTTTTTTTTGTTTTGTTTGGTTTTTGCCAAATTCGAAAAGGCCTCCACAAAAAAAAAATTATTTTCACGGCCTTCCAGTTTTTTCATCAACAATGACATACTGGAGGTGATTGTGAAAAACAATTGTCAAATTAATAATTCCATAATTTGATTCCATAATTTATACTGTCCCTTAAAATAAATTTTAAATCTTTTTTCTCAATAATTTTTTTTTTTTTTTTTTAAATTTTTCATTCTCGCAAGACATTCAGGGTCGAATAATAATAATAATCAAGGACGATTATTGTATCGGCGACAACTTTTTCAAAATTATTACGCTTATTATTATTATTATTATTAAATCGTGTTATACTTTTTTATTACCATCATCATTTATTGATAAACATAATCTTGTTATACAAGCGTAACTCGTTTTTCTGTTCAGACATTTTACATAAAAAATTTTTTTTTTTTGCTTCCAAAACAATCAATGACTGGAAAAACATTTAAAATGAAATAAATATTTCCAGAAGAAACTCCATTTCGTAAATATTTTTGATGTTTTCTTCTTCTGGATTGTTCGACCTTTTGTTTTTCCAGTCGAAAGATAAACCGCAAATGTTTTGTCAATCGATCGGAATTTTTTTCATCTTCTACATTTCCAGGAAATCGAAAAAAAAATTACTATTTACTCATTATACTGGAGAAAAAAATTTTTTCATTACGAAAACGATACTCGTTCAAAATGAAAAAGAAAAAAAAAAAAAAATAATAATAATGATTATTTTCACTTTTTTAAAACGATTCGAATAAAAAAAAAAATTTTTTTTTTGCAAAAACTTTTCCAGGTTTCCATCATCATTTACTCATTACCTGGAATAAATATATTTATAAATATTTATAAAAAAACTTTTAATCATTTCTAACCTTTAAATAATAATAATAATTCATTTGGCCTACGTCAGACAAGGTTATATTTTATTCAGTTTTTTTTTTTTTACCTTTGTTGCCGACATTATTTTCCAGCCTTGAATTATTTTTTAAATATTATTTTCTTCACTTTTTTTTTTCTTTCCAGTTATTACAAAACGGTTCGAAAAAAAAGGGAGAAAGAGAAAAACGAAATGAAAAACCTGACGCTTTCCGATAATAATAATAATAATAGTAATAATTACCCAATGCAGGTGTGTCTTCTTCCAATTCTACTAATACTCTTCCGCTTAAAAATTGTCCGGGAAAATATAAAAGGTTCGTATTATCGAATAAAATTAAAAATTTTAATAATTTTCTCGGCATTTTAACAAAATTAATAAATTATTTCCGATTATTTTTAAATCACAAAATTATTAAACGTTTAACAACACTTTAACTCATTCGTTATCATCATTATTATATCACCTTATTTTTATAAAAAACATTTTTTTTAAAAATTAAACACACAGACACACGCGTAGAACAAAGAAAAAAAAATTTTATTTTAAAAACCGAATATATGGTTACATAAATTAAAAATGAAACATTTCGATGGGCGAGACAAATCCCTGGTTTTGTACCGTGGGCGAACAGTCCGCTACCTGAGGCCCATATTAAGACAAACACGGTTATTTCATTCAGTTTCGTTTTTCTTTCGACGAAAAAAAAAAAAACATAAAAAGAACCTAGAGTACGTTTAAAATTACGTGCGACTCATCATCTTCTTACGATTGAAAAAATTCTTATATTTATCGTGCCTGAACTCTTTTCTTTCTTAATAAACTATATTCACAACGTTTCGACAACGAGTAATCGGTTTTGTTTAACTCTATGGTAAAAAAAATTTTTTAATTTGTTTTTCCTCGATTTATTATCATTATTATTTTCAGCGCGAATTATAAACCTTTGAATACTCTACCTTTTTCTTAAAAAAATAAAAAACTTTCTATAATAATAATAATAATAATAATAATAAAGGGTCAAAAGTTTTTTTTAAAAAAATTATTTAATGATTTTTTTTTAACGTGTCAGTAACATTTAATTTTTTTACACTCTCTAATAAATTACACGAATACAAAAAAAAGAAAAACTCGTTTTTAAATTTTGAACAGAATAATAATAATAATAATAAAATTTTATTTTTAAATTTTTTTTTGTTTGTGTTGATATTACGTAAATTTTATAATTGTGTTGAGTTTTTATTACATGTAGTAACAAAACAATAATAATAAAAATTATTATTATTATTTTTATTGTTATTCGCGGTACGTTCGATGAGTAATTATTACATCTACCACCACCCCCTCCCCCCTTCCCAAAGGAATAAAATTCCCACGCGGTTTTTTGTTATTTAAAATTTTTTTTACAACGAAATTGGATTTCTTTAAGTTAATTCGAAGTTGAAAACATTTTTTTTTTTTTAAATGGATCATTTT